AGGGAAATTTCACTTAAGTGAGTTTATTGTAACGATTTTGTTATTATGTGAAAGCGTTGTAGCATATTTTGGTGTTTTAGTAAAACACAAGATAATTGGAATGGAATTCATGATCCAATCCCTATCAATGGACTTTAACTGTCACAAAAGTCATTTTATAAGATACGTTGGATCCATTTATGGTTATTGTAAGGTCGATGGAAATACTATTTTTTGTGTTGAGCTTTCATAATCTAATTTCCAAGACTAAAAGGTTTTGCCAATGATATTGGATGTTCTTTTCTTTTTATTCATTGTTGCTCTTGATACATTAAATGCTTTCTTCCAATATGTTCTAGTCACTTTGTTATCTCATCATTCTTCTTGAATATCTCCAACATGCATCTTTAATCTTTGCATATCCTCTATAATTTTTTAATTTGTTCAAGTCTCTTCTCCTTTTGTTGTTTTCTCTTTGTTATCATCAAAATACATCTACATCCTTTACCCTTTGAATTATTTCACATGAACTTGTATACTGGTAATGGTTGTTCTGACTTAGTGTTGGATTGTTCAATATATTGCACACTAGCCTTTGAGATTGATTTGTGAATATTGGTGTCTAATCTAATTTTGATCACCATTCAATCATAATTTTCATAGGCTTTTATTCGAGTAAAAAGTGTTGCTACTTGCGTAAAGGAAGTTGTAATTGGATATTAGTGAAGAAATAATTGGATTTATACGAAAGCAATTTAAGACCTATTACATTTATATACTTACCAAATCATCATCGTCTCGTGACTAGACAAGGCATACCTCTTGTAGCACAGATCTCTGAGGAACCACATTGTGTATGAACACCCTTCACGAACTGATCTCCTCTACATCACAGCACAAACAAATCTCTTTATGCTTATGGAAAACCTTCCAAACTATCCTCAAAGGGGAAGGAGAAGTATATGGGCACTCTTTCTTTCAGATCTAGACTTACCTCAATAACAACAATACCGGAGGCTGATGACTAAAGTTATGATATATATGGGTACCAAGAAACCCTAGCCATAAGCTTCTTGGGCTCTTCTCATACACTGAGCCCAAATGGGCTTTAAGTAAAAGAGCATAAAACCAACAATCTCCCACTTGCTCTTTGAGTACAAACTTAAGCCCAAAGTCCAAGACCAAGTAACTCATTAGTCATCATTAACTGAAAAGTACACTATCCATTTTCTCAAATTAGTATGGGGATCTACCATATATTATTAATTAAGGCTCGTGATAATCAACAAATGATTATCTACTTTTGTGCTACTCCACTAAAAACCCGAACTTGAACTCCAAGATTAATAATACATATAACACGAATATAAATCGCCTTTTGTAGAATGTCGATAATTGACTTATGAGCTTTCTGTTACTCAATTAATTATTTATTCCCTTGACTGTAATAGTTCCTCTAATGGATTAATGCACTAACCAGTGTCTTCAATATCCAAGAACCGAAACATATCAAGGGGATATTCTCTATAAATTCTATGTTGTTTATCTCATAAATACCGATAATCAGATAATTTCACTTTCAAAATATTGAGTTATTAGCCATCAAAAGATTAAACCTCGTCGTTGGTAAATCAAATAGTGAAAACTATTTAATTACTCATTTACAATAAACTCGGGATTAAGAGCAATCACATAACTATAGTTAACTGGAGATTTGATCTCTTATGACAGAAAAACAACCTTAATCAAATCTCTCATTGATCTTTTCAATGTGAATATTAATTCACACCAATATTTTACAACGATTCAGACAAAATCATTTCATAAAATATTGCAGCCTAAATATAAAGTGCCCAACTTCATTTAATAATTATGAATCAATTCATCAATTGTGAGAACCTATGATTATATCCTCCATGAACATATCCAAATGATCATATACTCCATAATTGATCCAGACCTTAATGTTTATAAATTGTGTGCACACAAAAAAAAAAAAAGTGCTAACACATTTCCCCTTCCCCCTTGAGGATAGTTTGGAAGGTTTTCCATAAGCACAAGGAGATATGTTCATATTGTGACGCAAAGAAGATCAGTTCATGAAGGGTATACATTCAATAGGACGTTCTTCACATATCTACCCTACAAGAGGTATACCTTGTGTGGTCGCGAGACAATGATGATTCGGTAAGCATACAAATGTACTATGTCCTAAATTGCTTCTGCATAAATCCAATTATTCCTTCAATTAGTATCAGAACCTTGGCCATACATTTGTACATGAATCTAGTCCTATTATGCATGTGATTAGTTTGCTTTGTGAAATATGACACCTAGGATTCTATATTTGTTGGTCATATGATTTGTATATGTATCTTTTATAATTATTTTCATTAAAGATTGATGCTTTTATTTTGATTTTTGACTGTTATCAATGGTAGAGATTTCTGTGTATTCTTTTGGGTTTGTAAAAAGGGCTAATCCTTTGTGATGAGGTTTCCTCCTTGATTTTTATTTTATTTTTTATATATTTTTCATTATATTATGAAATTGTAATAAAAAGAATATCAAAGTAAAGCAAAAAAGAAGACAATCCGAAGTTGTTTTGGTGTGTTCTTGATCGATTGGTATCTGATTGAAGAAACCAACATCATAGAGTGAAAGAGCGTGGAAGGACGAACAAAGTTGAATGTATTTAACTATTTCACTCCATGGTGTTGGTTTCTTCAATCGAATACCAATCGATCAAGAACACGCCAAAATAGCTTCGGATTGTATTCTTTTTTGCTTTACTTCGATCTTCTTTTTATTACAATTTCATAATACAATGAAAAGTATATAAAAATTGAAATAAGAATCAAGGAGGAAACACCATCATAAAGGATTAGCCCTTTTACAAACCCAAAAGAATACACAGAAATCTCTACCATGGATTACAGTCAAAAATCAAAATAAAAGCATCAATTTTAATGAAAAGAATTATGAAAGATACATATACACGTCATATGACCAACAAATATAGAATCCTAGGTGCCATATTTCACAAAGCAAACTAATTGCAAGAATAATAAGACTAGATTCATGTACAAATGTATAGCCAAGGCTCTAATACCAATTGAAGGAATAATTGTATTTATGCAGAAGCAATTTAGGACCTAGTACATTTGTATGCTTACCGAATCATCATTGTCTCGCGACCACACAAGGCATAACTCTTGTAGCGCACATCTTTGAAGAACGTCCTAGTGAATGAACACCCTTCACAAACTGATCTCCTCTGCGTCACAATATGAACTTATCTCCTTGTGCTTATGGCAAACCTTCTAGACTATTCTCAAGGGGGAAGGGAAAATGTGTTAGCACTCTTTCTTTTAGATTTGGATTTACCTCAGTAATAGTTGTACCAAAGGCTGATGACTAAAGTTATTTTATATATATATATATATATATATATATATATATATATATATATATATATATATTGTGCTTATGGCAAACCTTCGAGACTATCCTCAAGGGGGAAGGGGAAATATGTTAGCACTCTTTCTTTTAGATTTGGATTTACCTCAGTAATAGTTGTACCAAAGGCAGATGACTAAAGTTATTTTATATATATATATATATATATATATATATATATATGTGTGTGTGGAATAATAATTCTACAGCTAGTGGCCGAAAACTCAAATCTGCCACAGATGCACAAAACGCAGGACCCATTGTTTTTCTTTTGAAAAAAAAGTGCACGCAAATCTCTGTCTTTTCTGCATTTGATGCAGAATTATTATTCCTATATATATACCAAAAAACCCTTACTCTAAGTTTTTTGGGCTCTTCTTGTATACTCAGGCCAAATGAACTCTAAGTAAAAAAAGCATAAACACAACAATTAGTGCCAGAGTTTATTCACTAGTATTGGTTACCATTTATTTGTGATAATGGCGACATACATAATACCAATATTGTTGTTCTGCCACCTGTAAGTATCAGTACTTAATTACGTATTCTTGTTTGTATTTGTATTGTATTTGTATTTTGCGATACAAAATTGCTATTGAATGTAATTTTGTGTTGATATCTTGATCAATTGCATGTATTGAAAGGAAATCTATTTCCTCTATCTAACTTGAACTTCCGCCCAATTGAACTAAACTAATAAACAAGGTTTGGCTTTGGCTTATTGCACCTGTGTTAAATTGATTTGACTTTGGATAGTTAGTAAGTTTTCTCACTAGATGACAGTGTTACTCGAGTAAGTACAAAATTGTAAGTCCATCGAATCCTTCCACCTTTTGCAGGATTTATTCTTATTAAATCTGAATTAACTCGCTCTTATAAATTGCTAAATCTGTTTAAATTGAAAGCCTGCTGAGATTTCAAATTTGTTCTTTGCTTATTCTACTACTATTCCATTTCTGTTATTTCTTAGTATATTAGAACTGAGTAAAATCTACATTATTCTAATTGTATTTTACCCGGCAATTCAATTACATCTGATTATTCACATATTGTGTTTAGTGATGATTAAAAAAAAATTAAGCTACGAATATAAAGATGTTAAACCAACCACGTATGAAACACATAGGACGGCAATTTTGGGCATATAGAAACCTTGTGCATTAAAATTGAATCACATTAAGTGCTTGATTGTTTCATAAATAAGAGTAGAATAACTACTACATAAAGTTGATAATCTAAGTTCTAGTTGGTGTGCTCCTAGCAAAATTCAACATTCACTAGGCTATCTAAAGTTCAAGATCCACTTGTGAAAAAAATATTAAAAAATTAAATTATAAAACGCCTATGGGCCTAAGCATCCCTATCAAAGTCACTTACCCAACGCAACACAAAAGGAAATCAACGACCAAATATACTCTTGTAGCCTTGGTTCAACATAAAAGGAAATCAACGACCTACGGGTTTTGGTTCAAGTGGAAAAACTTTTAAAGTCCCTAATTTTTTAGTCTCAATGCACTGCTGTCCCTGCTCAACCCTTTACCATGATATAATTTAATAGCGTAAAATGAACACCAGATCTTTCATTTGACCATCAAAAGTCTCAAATTAACATCATTGTCGGGACTCAAAAATCTGCTCTCTAACTTGAGATTTAATTAAAAAAAATTACAGAACAAGATATACCATGTTTTTGCCGCTTCCTCCTCTCAAAAATATACAACACCAATCGGTGGTTTGGGTCAGTTCTCCTATCGGTTTCTTGTGCAAATAAGTCGGCAGCAGCAGCACGTAAACTTCAAAAGAAAGAATTATGTTGATGACCACCCTTCACTTAAACAGTGAAACTCATCTTTCCTTAAAGACACATCTACAGAGACAGCAGAAAGCAGTAACTACAAACAGGCAGACATATGAAGTTACAAAAAATAATCTGGAGTCTTCCGTGTAGTGTCTGGCTCAATTTGCCTAGGAGCTGGATCAAACTGAAGAAAATTCTGATCCATATTCTCTCCAATTTCCAGTATGGCAGCCATATTTCCACATCGGTAACAGTAATTTGGAGCACTAAATACAGTCACCACATTTTTATCCTAAAAGAGTCATTGACATAGAGTCAATACATAAAATCAAAAAGGTATTCCAAAAGTGAAAAAAAATTATTATACTAATTCAAAATATTTATGTCAGTCACCTGGCACCAATTGTACCCTTCCATAACAAGCTGGTGAGCTCTAGATATAAGGGAGAGACCATTGGTATGATTGAACTGGGCAGCTATATCCTGCCCAAAAGTGTATCCAGCGCCACGTGGAGATATTCCCCACCCACAGCGGTCATCAGGATCAGACCACAAGAGATCACACATTGGTCCTTCGTGTGGAACCTGTAATGCATAATTATGGTTGTTAGGCAACCTAGGTGCCACAATTGCCAGGCATCCAATTAACCTCATGAACATATGTCTGGACAATACAAATGTTTGGCATTCCATTATGGACCAAAAGATGAGAAATCCTAAAAGTCTAATGCACCTGGCAAGGCTGATAACATATTAAATATTAGATTAAACCATAAAGAAAGAGAAATATGTCATTACTGTAGGTCCTAGATGAAATATTTCCAGAGCAGAACAAAAGCATTACAAACTACAATTGCAACATCAAATAAAATATTTCTCAAACCATATTAAACATCAGATGTACATCTAGCTCAAGTTATCACTCTTCACATAAAAATGTTCTTAATATTGAAAGGATCATAAGACCATGCAGAGCATTCATGCTAGCCGTTACACACAAACCTCTTGTATACGATCCAATGCTCTAATATTATCCAGTGTATCCAAAGAAGGTGAGAGACCTCCATGCAAGCAGAAAATCTGCAATGTACGTGGAAGTTAGAGGCTGGCATAAAATTAGTCAGATAAACATTCTGCAACATATTTAACTCAAACCTGACTCTCAATGAGGGCAGTCAGAGGTAAATAATCAAACAAGTCAGTAAAGTATTTCCAGACATTGGCATTTCCATATTTTCTCAAGCATTCGTCGTAGAAGCCGTACCTGAAAGTAGAAGGTGAAGAATATAGATGAAGTGGCAAAGAAGCAAATGCAAACATTTTTTAATTAAAAACCCTTTTTGTTTGCAGTGTTTAATGAATTTTTTTTCCCATTTTACATCGCTGTCAAATTATTGATGAATTGAGGTTAACAAGTGTCCTTCACATGCACCTTATAAGGATGCAATATAATGTTTGACAGTAAAGAGAATCCTTTTAAAGTATGTGCCCCTAAGAATCCATGTACCAGGTTCATCTCAATAAAGCAATGTTGCTACTCATTCCCAATGCACTTCACAACTATTTTGATAAACTAGGGAAAATGACTATAACAGTACCCACAGCATCTGATAGGCATGTCAAAGCAACAAATTTATATATTTTCTTGTCATTATAATCTATAATGTCCTAAAACTAAATATTACATCAGCATAATGATGAAAAGACAAACCAAGAAAAAAAGAAATGGCCCACTCCCATCGCAAAACCAAATTGTTGCTCTTAAGCCCTTAGAAGTTACCCGCTGGATAGATGGTGCATTGATCAACTGGCTATGTAAAGCCAATGATTAGAGGTATTGTGGCTGCAACACCCACTACCTATTCTCAAATTTCAAGCTGAATGCATATCAAACCTTCAGCTTAAAAATTATAGACCTTAACAGACACAAATTACAATGGATACCAGAGATTGGGTTGTATGAGAAACATAGAATGAAAAGAAATGGTTCATACACTTGAGTAATTTGACGACTTTCATGATTTCCCCTGAGAATTGTAATTCTATCTCTATAACGGACTTTCAAGGCCACCAGAAGCGTAACAGTCTCCACTGAATAGTACCCACGATCTGCAAGAATCAAGCCATTATCATGAGGAGATGCCAGCAATATCAACAGACACGAGGACCATAATTTAAATATCATTAAAAGCAGTATGACAAAAGAAAAGATGAAAATGACCAAAGGTAACACCTTAAAATAGCAGAAACTTTTAACGTCCTCATGGCATTGAAGTTGTTAAACCCAACATCCTTACCTCAAATATTAGAGAGAAGCTCACTAAAGCAAAATAACTTTGCTTAGAGACATAATTTCCATAAGAAATTATTCTCTTAAGAATATGTTTCTCTGGAAAAATAAAGAAAATTCACTTTGAAACCAAGTTTGGATACCTATACCTCAGTTCAAACAGAACAATCACTTGTGCTTTTTTTATTTTCTCAGAAAAATATCAAATGACTGCTTCTTGGACATCACAGAGCTTCACTCACTGATATATATCCTAGAAAAATCCTCTCATTCAATTTTGAATTTCATTTTCCCATCAACAGTTTGATGAACACAGTTTTACTTCTTTTAACATACAAACTAAAATATATAGAAAATTACAACAATCGGGATTGTTTATAATTTACTCAGTCCATATTCAGAGCTCACATTTATATCTCAACATTTCTTCATTTCCTTATGTCATCCTACTACTTACAGCATGACAAAATAAACTCTTATTCCACTCATTACAAGAGTTTACTCTAGGAGGGTGCATAGGGGTCAGGGGATCACACCCTAAGCAAGCACACAAAAGTGTGACTTGCTGCAAGGTGGGAAAATTAGTTGGAGCTGCTGTAACAGCTTCTGAGGGAGGGGGTGCATAAGAGTAGGGAAGAGAGGGATAAGAAAGAATTTAGTAGGGAAAGATCGAGAACTGGCCTCACAAAAGCAAGATATCAGTTTCCCCTTCCTGTAATTTTCTATAGCTTCATACACATGCATCTGATATCATCTCGATATCAGTGTGCTTAATACAAGTTTCTATACTTTCAATATCACACTCCCACAACAAGGTCTAATATACCACAATTTCAATTTCAAAGCAGTACTTAGAAAAACCATATCATTAATGCATGGCAATCACCTCATCAGGGAGATGGAGGGGAAGGGAGAATGCAAGTTTTACCAAACAATTCTCCATCTAACAAATGTTGGGTTGGCACAACTAAACCCAGGTGCTCAAAAGTTGAAGTTCCTATTAGATTTCCAACAGGGGCATCAATGTTATTGACACAACATTGAGATACCGATATAAACAAGTTCATTTTACTCAGCCCATAAATCACCCGGACATAATTAACAGTTAATACAAGAATCCGTTCATAAAATCAAAACTAAAGAGAGAGAAATTTGAGAAAAAAAGAAGAAGGAAAGAACCTAAATCAATATCAAACATTCCCACTTTCAAATTCAACACCATCCTATCGTAATTTCCTTCAATCTTCATCAAACCAATTCACATTGAATCACCACCAAGCCCTCTTCTTAGAAAAATAATTATACATAAAAAAACAATCTTTGAGCCCTAACCACAAAAATTTCATCCCAAAAAGAGAAACTTAGCAAAAATAAATAAATAAAATAAAATAAAATAAAACGAAATTAATTTGAAGAAGACTCACCTACATAATCACCCATAAAGAGGTAATTGGTATCAGGGGCATTCCCTCCTATCCGAAACAACTCGATGAGATCGTAGAACTGGCCGTGTATATCGCCGCACACGGTGACGGGACACTTCACCGGCTGCACGTTCCACTCCTCCACCAGAATCGCCCTTGCCTGATCGCACAGGCCCTTCACCTCCGATTCCGGTAGAGGCTTGCACTCCATCAGGTGCTCGATCTGACGGTCCAGATCCGCGTGAGACGGCATAGTTTTCAGCAGCGAAATCGCAAGGATCCAATCCAAACAGCTCCAAGATTGCCGTTCTTCTTCTTGTAGCGGATCGATTTGATCTTGCAGAGAGAACAGAACGAAAAGCCGAATCGATGAAATCGATCGATTTCTGGCTGGGTCGTTTAGTCCGACCGGAGCGTCGTCGACGGAGACCGGAGAAATGCCGAGGTTAGGGTTAGGGTTCGGTAGCGAAACGCGGAGAGTGAAACGCACCGTTTTGGAGATTGCTTTGTTGGTGTTGGTCTCTCAACCATTCCCGGCTCTGTTTTCTCTTTCTCTTCAAAGTTTTGTGTTTCTCAGTGAGACAGAGACAAAAACAAAAATACAAAAAAAACAAAGGGGGCGTTTGATAGAGGGGATATTTTTTTTTATCCGGGAATCATAATTTCTTGGAATATAATTGGAAAATAACTTTTCCGGAAATGTTTGCAAAAAGGTGTTTGGTAGGCAGAAATATTTGTGGAAATATTTGATGAATTTTCACATTGCTATGTTTGGTTGATAATAAAATTTTGGTAGGATTTTGGGTTGAATTTACAAATGTACCCTCGTTTTAAAAAAAAATCTATTTTTTTACAACGTTCATATGCTATCACTTCGTTCATATGCTACCGAAGTCTGTCTCTCTCTACCCATCAGTTCCTGCAAAACAAGTACAAGTCAGAGGGTTATTTCAGTCTACTTTTTCGCGGTTAATTTTTTCTTTCCCCGGGAAACGCACAAATCCATATAATCTGTGGGATTTTTTTGTTGGGATATTGAAAAAATTTATGTTGCTTTTGAAATCCTAAGATTTCAACATCCCCGGGATTATGTACCATTTTGTGTTTACCAAACGCTGCATTTCAGTTTACCGACCCCAAAAATCCAAGGAAATCACAAAGAATCCGTCAATCAAACGCCCCCAAAAATCATAAATAATTAATAATTAATATTTCTTATTTTTGTTATAAAAAAAAAAAAACAAAATTCTTATTTTTTATTTTTTTTGTGAACGAAAGAAAATTAGAGGGAAATTGCCGTCGGGTGGGAGCCTGCCAGCCGGAGAACTAAATATCAAAAAAGGAAAATGAAACTCAAATGCAGATGAAATGACACGGTAAAGAAATTTCCTAAGTCTAAATTATTGGTGCATTCTTTTAATAAATTTTAATATATAATCATTGACATAAGATATTGTTACTACCAAATAATATTATTACCAATATTATTATCATATTTTAATCGCTGATTTTTATCAATCAATAATTATCATTGATTTGTGAAAATAATAACCATTGATTAATGAAAATCAACGGTTAAAATATCATAGTAATATTAGTAGTAACATTATTTAGTAATAATAATATCTTAATCCATAATCATTATCTATCTTTTTTTTAGAGAAGGGTTATATATACAAACTTTTTATTTACAAATTCTTACGAATTATATTATGTACGGTGGGTGGTACATGCTCAAGTAGTATATACTACCCATAGCACATAGTGAATTTGTAAATAAAAAATTTGTAAATATACCCTATATCTATTTCTATATTCTTATAAGGGAAAGGATATTGTAACAACTAACTAATGTTACTACTAATGTTATTACCAATCAATTTCATTGTTAGATCGATTATGTTGATCCAACGGTTATATTTATTTTCATTTTTGTAAGGTTATGATTCCCAATATTTATGTAATCGTTGGATCCACATAATCGATCTAACGGTGAATTTGATTGGTAGTAACAGTAGTAGTAAGTAGTAACATTAGTTGGTTGTTACAATATCCTACCCATTCTTATAGAAAGAAATTTGTTATTTTGGTCTTGAATTATTATTATTATTTTAATATATTTAAAATAAAAACTATCATTGCTAATTACTTATTTACAAATTCAAAAATTTATTTTTAAAAGATAAAGTTGTAAAAATAGTTTAGAATAAAACTTCAGTGAATGTTTAAACGGGTTCCTGTACATTAAAATTTTTAACGAAGTTCTTATACTTTAAAAAAATTCCAATAAATTATTATTCGATAATAGTCATTAATATTGTTAACTCTTGCCATACTATAAGAATTTGAAAATGTATAAATTTATTTACATATAGTAATATTATGTATGACAATTCGGGTTGATACGACATGACTAAAGTTATAAATGGATCAAGCTATTTATTTGAAACTTACAACTCGACCTACCTTAGACTTGAATTGACCTAATCCATTTTAAAAATAATAAATATTTGGACTCATTACAAGATCAATTTGGAAATTAGGTCACATGCCTATTTTAAAATATTTAGATTTCTTAATGAAGTTTCAATGTTATTTTTGAATAATTTACTGTCTTTACCTTTTGATTTTTGTAATTATCACGATTTTTTTTTTATTGAGTGAGATTATGTAATCCATAAGTGAGTGAATATGTTTTTCTTTTTTTAAGTTTAATTAAGCCTTTTGCATCTTTGTTATAATATTATTTTCAATTCCAACAACGTATTTAAATTATTAATATTTTGGATTATGGCTTCAACAATTGTATCGCTTTGACTTTTTTTTTTTGGTAAACATACGCTTCCCGGCACGGGGTTCGATTCCCCGCTCTCCATTTATTTCACTTTGACTTTTCATCAACCAAAGTTGTTTCGTCTCCAAACAGTCCCTCGAAGCATGCAACATTGTCTCATGATCAGAGTTACAAATGGGGCACATATCATTCCCCCCGACCATTAGGCAACTTTATTCATAGTTAATAACCCATGATGAACCACTTCTCACATAAAATTTTTAACTTTTTGTGGCCCCTTCCATCCCCAGATATTTTTTCAAATTTTTTTGTTTTTTTGGTAAAACAAACAGGAAAGAAAAAAACAGTAAAAAAGACTAGGTACACATCCTAGACCAAGCTACTCCTACATAATCCCTTTCAAGCCCGTCACGACAACCTGGTGAAGGCGAGGCAAACTCTTGTAAAGACCAGTCGAAAGAGTAAGCGAATGAGGCCATCCAATCTGCAACCTCATTTCCTTCCTTATGAATGTGGGAGATTCTAAGCATCCAATCCCAAGACAACATATTCTTGATGCGCACGACCAAATTTGAGGCTGGATGATGAGGATTACAACCCTCTTTCAAAAGATGTTGTGCTACTAGAGAATCACCTTCAAGCCATATAAAACGAAAGCATTTCCTCCAAGCAATTTCAAGCCCAAGGAGACATCCCCACAGTTCTGCCATTAAAACGTTGCCACAACCAAGGTTTTTACAAAACCCCACGAGCCATCTTCCACTTGCATTTCGAATTACTCCCCCACAGGCGGAAGATTCGCCATTGTTTATGCTTGACCCATCAACATTCAACTTGACCCAAGGTTCTGAGGGAAAAATCCAGGAAACTAACCTCTCTTTTCTCAAATGAGTCACAAGACCAGCAACCTGAAGTGTGTTCTCTGACCAAGTAAACCCATCGCTATATACCATAGCAGCTCTCAGAGTGTTGTGTGCAGTATCAGAAGACCCCTGAAATATCTTCTTATTCCTAGATCGCCAAATGAACCAAGAAATGGTCCCAAACAGAAGAGGCCATGGAGACAGATTAGACCAAGTATGAACCTGTGAGATGTTGGACAACACCCATTGTTGAAGGTTAAGAGAGAAAAAAATCCTCTTTTGCCTCTTGTTTAACTACATATTCCCACACCTGCTTCGCCTCAATGCAATCCCTGATAGCATGTAGGGTGCTTTCAGTAAATCGGTTACACAGATGACAAATATCAGAACCAGTCATGTGAGGTTTGCACATTCTTTCATTCGTCAAAAGCTTGTCCCCTATCATCAGCCACAAGAACGTACGTATGCGTCTGGACCCTGCCACCCCCAAACTTGTTTCCAGGGCATATTGGTAGAGTCATTCTCATTCCTAGATATTGCCTCGTACGCAGACTTCAGTGAGAAGCTCCCATCCGACGTCTTCGTCCACATAATACGGTCCTGCCCATCAGTATCAGAAGGAGGGAGGATATTGTTGATGCGAGTTTGGATGTGGACTGGCAGAATGTGTCGAAAGGCATCCCACAACCATCTGCCTGATGATGAAACGAGATCAGATACCACCACTTGGCTATCAACCCGCGTTGAGTTAGCAAGAGCATATGATGATAGAGCAGCAAACCCCGGGACCCACGAGTCTTCCCAAAAATGAGTGGATTTCCCATCGCCTAGCACGATCATTGAGTGTTTAAGCATCATCGGCCAGGACGAGACTATGGCTTTCCAGAGAGAGGAGCTATTTCGCGTTGCAGTGATAGCAGGCACGATACTAGGCTGCACCTTATATTTACTCCTTAATACTTTAGCCCAGAGCGCGTCAGGATTAGAGAGGATTCCATATCCAATTTTCATAATAAATGCCTTGTGAAAGTCCTTCATTTTCCTCAGACCCAGGCCGCCTTGATCTTTATTCATGCACATTTGATCCCACGCAACCAGATGTGGGCGTTTAGTTGATCTGGTTGAGCCCCACACAAAACTCCTAATTTGTTTTTCAATCTCATCACAAACTCCAAGGGGAACGACTGAGACTTGCATCGTGTAAGCTGGTATAGCTGAGAGAACAACTTTAGAGAGAGTAATTCGACCAGCTAGGGAAAGACTGGCGTGATTCCAAGCATTAATCCTAGAGTGAACTCGATCTAGGATGTGACTGAATGTCGCCTTCCCAATTCTTCGGTGCTGAAGTGGAATACCCAAATACTTCCCAAGGTCCAATGTCCTGGTAAAGCCCAACTCAGCACTTAGATCCGCGGCCAAAGCATGGTTCACATTTCGGGATAAAAAAATCTTTGTTTTTTCATTATTCACCTTTTGACCAGAAAAGGAACAAAAAGCATCTAACACCGCAGAAATGGTCTGGGCCTAGTCATGGGATGCTTTTGCACAAAGAAGGAGGTCATCTACAAAGAAAAGATGAGAAATGGGAGGGGCATTCCTTCGCAGCATGATCGGCTTCCAGAATTTTTGTTTTACTGCACATGAAATGAGATGACCAAGCCGTTCCATACAAAGGACAAATAAATATTTTTTCAAATTTTTGATTCATTCCCCCCACCTCTCAGCTCACTAAGAGTATTATAAAGAGTCTTTACAAATACCACACTTTCACCCAAAAGATCCCACATCTTTCTGTCAATGCCATCAAGACTATTCGGAGGCAAAGTATTCCTAAATACATTAATTATATTTTCTGGAAGCCAGCGCTTTAACTCCACATAATCCCACTCCCCTTCC